GATCCACTCATTATTAATACCATAGGAATCTTGAAGCCTCAAACATCCCTATAAAAACTAGATTCAATGAAATGTTGTCGTTAGGAGAGTGAGAATGGATCCTAGACTGTTTGTTTTGGTTACTTTGGCAATACATCTATCAAAGCACATTTTCAACCACAAATTGTGATTACATTCAATTATCTAAACAAGCTTTAGTTTGGACTTTCAGTACAATAAATGTATACACCCAAATCTTTCAGAAGAAAATTTGCAGGTCAAAACAAAAATTACTTGTTATTTATTCAAATAGACATATTTATTATTTATATATAATTTTTCATTTTTCTTCTCATAATTTCTTTTTCTTTTTTCTATTTTTATATATACTCTTTATCTTTTTCTTTTCTATCTTATGTCTTATTTTCTCTCTCATCTTTCATTTATTCTCCTAATTCAATTATTATATTAAATTTAATAAAAATATATTAAAATAAATATTTTAAAATAAAAATTGAAATTTAAAAAATATTAACTATATATTTATAATTGTGATGATAATAAATAATTTTGTTTATTTTGACAGTAGATCATTTTATTTAGAAAACGTAAATAATTAATTTAAAATTATTTTATCATAATAAATAATTACTCATCTAATTAAAAAAATATTAAATATTTATAATTTAAATATATTTTTATTTAATAATTTAATCTAGTTATAATTAGGCTGAATTATGATGATTAGTTAGATTAGTTTTTTTTTAATATTTATTAAAAAATACTTTAGAATAAATATTTACTTTTTTTCTTAATAATTACAACATAACAATAATATATTTAACATCTCAAATTTATCATATAATATTTTTTATATAATATATTAAATTATAGTATTTTTGGATTATTAATAATAATAAATGATATCAAATTTCAATATATTATTTTTAATTGAAAATAAGATGGAGTGAGAGAAGACTTAAAAAAAATAGATGAAGGAAGTGAAAAATAAATGAGAAAAAAGAAAAAAAAATAACTATAACATGTCAAATAAATTTATTTTTCTTTATTAAAAATTATTAATAAATAATAAATAAGTTTAATTGAATAAATAAATTTTAAAAAAATGTTATTTAAATATTTTTTAGAAAATATATTATTTATAATATTAATTCGTAAAAAAATTATATATTATAAAAATTAGTCATGTCATACAATCTTGAAACAAAAAATTATTAACAGAAGGACATCACCTATGAACTTTTGTCATCTTTCCCAATTAGTGATTGAGATGATTCTTTAGGCTCCATTAGAAATACGTATTTATTCTTTAAAAAAACAATATATATATATATATATATATATATATATATATATATATATTATTAATCAGAAACATATAGTTATATGAAAAATGAGTTTTTTACAATCTAAAAGTGAGTTACATATTAATTAAATATAAAATAATATTTTTTTATTGTGAAACTTAAAAGTCAGGTTTATTACTAAAATTAAGGTTAAATAATATGATAAAAGATTTTATATCATATATATAATATGTCTTTGAAAAAAATACAAATCTCAATATAATATGATGTTTTTTTTACAATAATTCTGAAACTACTAATTTTAAAGTAAGATAAAACAATATTATATTTAACTCAAAACTTAATATAATAGATTTGTGGTAATGAGAATTGATATTTGTACAACCCTTTATTTATTAAATATTTATTATACAATCTAATTTAATAATAAATATAAAAAAGTAAATATTTATTATTATTATAATATTAAAATAAATTGTTGGAAAGATGTTTACAAGGAGAAGGTGTGAAGATAGTTTATATATGTTATTGAAGTTAAATATTTCTAATATATGTTTAAATTCTAACATATTTCCCCTGATCCCATTCAACATTATACTGGCAAAATTACTCAAGTGGATACATTATTTCCCTCTACAGATAAAGATACCTACAAATTTGGTAGCAGCTTCGGTGAGAGAAATTGGAATTGATTTTTAGGTTAAAAGGTGACAGATTTCATAATGAGGACAGTGAGATGCAGTTGTGGCTGCATGCTTGAGAATTATATAAATATAGCAGACATTGTTGCCTGACTTTCAAATTATCAGAAAATGACAAACTAGAACACCACACTGTTCAAAAAAACTAATAGTCAACCTCAGATTTATTAGCTCAGAAATTGTGATATTGCATAACATATGCTACAGTTTCTCAATAATAGTTTGAATTTTCCATATTCAGATACATGCAAAAGATAATTGTCTCCAAAGATAATGGTGACAAACAAAAGAATTTTGTGATAACTATTGAAGTATTAATTAAGTGTTACAAATTGATGATCAAATATTATTGTTTTAGCTTTCTTTGAAATAGTTAATTTTATAAGAAAATTTGGCAAAATGTAAAATAAATATAGTTATTTATTTAAATAAACTTAATCAATTATCCCCACATAGATTAAGAGTAGCTTTTATATATGTATTAGTTTTTCATTCTGGCATATGAACGTAGCAAAGTAGTTATTTTCATACTAGCAAACGTATTCTTTAACCCTCGATCATATCGAAAATGTATATAGAAATGTTGAAAATGGTCAAAGTCGCAAAGGTTTTCTTGTTTTTGTGGTTCATGTCAAAGCTTTTTGCTAATTATATATGGATTTTGAACCTTTTTTTACTTTCAAACCATTGACACTCTAGAAATTCAACCCAACTTACACTGTGTAAAGCACCTAATCCTCAAATAAATTTGTAAAAAATCAATTAAAGGAATTGGTGCAATGAAAGAGATTTAGATATGATTTTTATTGGCTTGAATATATGATAAAGTAAAGAACAAGAATCACAAGCAAGCGAAAATGAACAAAGCATTGAACTCATACATTTTTATTTTTATTTTTTGTAATAATGAAATATGATATATATATATATATATATATATATATATATATATATATATATATATATATATATATATCATCTTTCAAAAACAGTTGAAAGAAAACTATTGTAAATAATTATAAAAATAACTCCAACTTCTTAAACATGGTTATTAAAGAACCTTCATTTAGTATACTTTTTCTCATATGCACCATTAATATTTGTCATTGTGTGTGTTACATTGCTGGAAAGTGAGAAGGAAAAAATAAATATATATTTTAGTCAAATAAACATTCTATCTTAGGATTAATATATACGTGTAAAAGAATGAAACACAAGAATGATTAATGGTGAACATTAAATTATTTATGTTTCGAGGTGCTGAATACAACTTTTACCTTAATATCTATAAGGATTATTAGTGTTTTAGATAACTTTTGAACCACGTTCCACCTAATAACTTGTGCGAATGACATTAACATTATGCTGAACCATGCCAATTAGTTAATCTTCAGAGAATGTGCATTAGTGCATAATCTATAAGGATTATTATAAGATTACGTGACAATGGAAATGATATTAAGATATACCAAATATGCCCAAAATCAATTTTACCAGTCAAACATCTAACGTATTCAATTAGAAGTCAATTTAAATAAAAGTGATTAATCCCAGAATTTATTGCTAACAAGATTAGTGTTTACGTCACTAATTAAATTTTATAAGGCCATTCCCTTTTCTATGAGAAATTTCTCAGAACCAATCTTAAATACCAACAGGTTTTAGGTGGACAAAATACAGAATAAAGTAGGTTGATATTATAGGATAGTGTCCAACACAATATTTTTCTTCTACTTTCCTACAATTGGAATTTATTTTTTAAATAATTCTATGCTACTATTATTATATGATATAACTAGTGAATAACATTATTTATTTTGATCACTATTTTAGAACATTAAAAAAAGGACTCTTATGCAAAAATTTACAGAACGGTCTCACAAATACCAAATTCATTGTAAACTTTATAAAGTTTTTTTAGTCTTTAAAAAGGATATTTCTTAATTTGTCATTTTATGAAATCATATTTTTATCAATTATAATTTTAATGTTGTTTTTTACTCATATATATATATATATATATATATATATATATATATATATATATATATATAGTTTTACCAAAATAGTTTCATTCTCTCAATAATATATATTTAGTGAGATAATTTATATGAGGACAAGTTAGAAAAAAAATTATAATACATTATAAAATGAGATTATAATCTTGGGACTAATTACTATAATGTTTTAACTGTATATAACACCTTAGGGAATACATGATTACAAATATAAATATCTTGTGGGAAATTAATATATATGAATTTAATTTCTTTTACTTGGTCCCTTCTAACTCTTACTGGCTCCTTGATATAGGTAGCAACTTTATAATTTGGAGAGCAATTTGAATTAAATTTAGGTGAAAAGGTGATAAGTTTCATAATGCGGCCATTGAGATGCAGTTGTGGCTGCTGCATGCTAGAGAATTATAAATTTAGCTGACATTGTGAGACTTTCATCAAATAATCAGAAAATGACAAACTAGATTACCACGCTGCTGAAAATTTAACGGTCAACCTGAGAATTACGTGTGATAATAGGTAGGACGAAACATCGAGGTTAAAACAGAAAGGGTCATTATGAGACTATATTGTCCACCTTCCAATATAGGATACAATTTATCAACAGTAATGTTTTCTTATTTTTCACATTTCCAGTCACAGAGACAACAAAAACTGAAATATAGAAATTCTGCTCTCAAGATTTTAGTCTCACGTGATAATATATATATATATATATATATATATATATATATATATATATATATATATATATATATATATACTAATACTAATACACTAATGTCAAAATAATACTATCACTATAGAAATAAGGTAATGCATGACCTCATGTCGTGCATTTGCATGCACCAAACACCTATATAAAACAATATGTGCACACCTATGCATTGCCAACCTCTCCCGAATAACTTGTACCTGTTATTTGCTTCCTTTTTGTCTTAGAACATTTAGTACATTTGTCGTGTCTCTGCCTAATGGGTAGGTCACCTTGCCGTAACGAGAGTAATGTTAAGAAAGGGCCATGGACAGCGGAAGAAGATGAAAAGCTAACGGATTATATTAGCAGACATGGAAGGGGAACGTGGAGAACACTTCCAAAGCATGCTGGTCTAAATAGGTGCGGAAAAAGCTGCAGGTTAAGGTGGGAGAACTATCTAAGACCAGATATTAAGAGAGGGAAATTCACTGAAGAGGAGGATCAATTGATCATCAACCTTCATTCAGTTCTTGGAAACAAGTATGCATGTCCCTTGTTTGTTTGTATTTTGTAGCTAATTTCTTTTTATGTTTATGCATGTGTTCTTGCTTGGGTTGATATGCAAATTAAGTTGAAACCCTAATTCTTTTTTTACGTGCTTCTAGGTGGGCAAAGATTGCTACCAATCTTCCAGGAAGAACTGATAACGAGATCAAGAATTATTGGAACACCAACCTAAGAAAAAAGCTTCTCCACATGGGTATTGATCCAGAAACTCACAGGCCAAGAACTGACTTGAATCACCTCATGAATCTTTCCCAGTTGCTTGGTATGTCAAATTTGGGCACATCAATAAATCCTTTGGCCAACCCTATTGGTTTACAAGCAGATGTCACTCAACTAACCAAACTACAAGTGCTACAAAATATGTTACAACTTCTGAATAACACTTCATTGATTAACATGGCTAACCCTTACCTCTTACGCAATCAAATTCTCAACCCACCCGATACGTTCCTCAATGGAACAAACACCCTTCAAGTTAGAGATCCAATGTTTAGAGGTCCAGAATATCCAAATCCTCATGGTAACAACGAACCTGATCTATCACTCTCTCAAACACACAGTGACTATTCTCAGCAGAACATCTTCAAATCAGGGCTAGAAAGAGAGAATGAAACTGATTATCAAGAAGTTCTTAGTTATGCCGAAAACATTAACACTTCACAACAAAATCAAGTAGAAAATTTACTTCCTGCATTAGTTGCTTCATGTCCAAAGACAAGTACCTTCAACCAAATGGAGAGCAACTATAACGCAGCACAAGTGTCCTCCCAGTCACCGGTCTCCACAACCTTCGAGGCTTGGGAGAAGTTCCTCATTGATGATGATGAAACAAGCGGTTCCTACTGGAAAGAGATTCTAGAGTACGTTTTAATCTTAACTAGTTTTCCCTACTCTTAAGTGAGTATGCGTGAATTTTGTTCATAAAATAAAGCAGCAACCTCGTTTTTGTGTATGTATAATTTGACATAATTTCTTTTTTACTTTGCAGCTTGACATCCACCTCTGCATCTCCAGTTTCCTGGTAGCAGAATGATTGAATTTGCGTCAACATAATCAACTAATGGATGCCATCAGATTTTTTCATTCTTTAATTTATTTTTTCGTCTGATTTGTTCATTCATTATGATTTCTTTTATCGTTTGGTTAATGTCCTTCATAAACTTGTGAAGTCTGTAATCATAAGTAGTTCTTTCCACAGCAGAAAAGATTTGCACATTATTTTCTTCTTTTTTTTTTTATTATTTGTATCTTCAGTTAAATAAAGCATCAAGCAAAATCTGTCGTGTTAATATCATTAATTTGATCATATGCTACAGCAATTAAGGCAATAATCTTTGCAGAATAGTTACACTTCCATCCAGTATAAACAGTGAAATGGAACGCCAATGCATTCACATTACAAAATTTGTCATTGGAATCAATATTTGTAAGTCCAAACACCTGGTTAGTTCAGAATGTTTGAAAAAAAAAAAAAGACGTGTCAACACAACCACCCTCTTGTTTTCACGTTCACCAATAAAACTGCTCCTTACTATAAGGATTTAGGATGGCTATACAACTTGCATTTAAGTAAAATTAAAGGCAAGAGAAGTAGTGAGGTTCCATTCAAAAGTTATTCTATAACAATTATAATGTCACTTTTTCATGTGGAGATAGTGGAGAAGGTTGTGGTTGGTTGATTGATTTGAGTTTAGGAAACCTATTTTTCTTTTTCTATATATAAAATCACGGGATTAAGTATCACTTGAAAAAAAAAAGTTTCCTAACTGACATACCAACACCATTCATTTAGTATATTCCTCTGAAAGAAAAAGAAATAAAGAAATGGAGACTAAACTTATTCACAAAGAAATTAAGAGAATTGTAGTTAGAGATATATCTGAGAAATAGTGCATGTTAATTATAGTAGAAATTGAAAGTCAATGTGAAAAGAAGTATATATTAATTTAAACTAGTTGTTTCTTCCTTGATTTATCTATTAATTTAAAACATATTTTAGTGTGGACTTATTTTCCAGAATTTTCTTTCTTTAAATTTATATCATTACCACTCCTCTTAGATAAAAATTTTGGGAAACTCTCTAAAGTTTAATTATTTATCAATTTGAATTTATCTAAGTCTACGTGAATATGTCAGTGATCTTTGGTTTTTTAATTCTCAAAGTTAGATTTACATGTATGATGATGAAGCGATATTAATCGTTTATTTCTTATAATAAACTAAATTCGTTATTAGTGTTACTATTGATTTCATATGACACTATATAATATATTTATCTTATTATTTATTTATTTATTTATTTTTACTATTTCAAAGTCATATAATATTATATTTGATATGTAATTATCATAATTAGGTAAAAATATTAAATAACTGATTTTTTTAATTATTGATCTAAAGTTTTTTTTTTTTTAAGAAACTGTGTTTTGAGTATGATTTTAAGTTTTTATTTTATATTTTTAATATTTATTTTGATCTTAGCCAAGTTGTTCTTGGACGTTCGACTTCACTTTTGTTGGTATGTTAATGATTTTTTTTTAGATTTTAATATTACTGTAAAATTTGTTATTAGTTATTATAAATAAATAAAAATTATAATAATAGTAATAATAGTAATAATTATAATAATAAATAATAAAATTAATAATAAAAATATTCATAAATAAAAATAATTAATATTTATTACAATTAATGTTTTTATATTATAATAATTATTATTATTATATTTTTATTTTTAATTATTATATTTATTATAATTATTGTTATTATATTATATTAATAATTGTTAGATATTGTTTATATATTATTTGATATTGTTAAGATATTGTTAGATATTGGTAACCACAATATCAAACAATATCTTCTGTTTATTCTGTTACTTTCAGCTACTCTTTTAGTTGTATATCTCTACTATAAATAGACTACCCTATGTGTGATTTATACACAAGGGAAATTAATTCCAAACCATATTTTCTCTATATTCAACGTGGTATCTAGAGCTTAAGGTTCTCTTGAATTTTTTTTTCCGCCTTTTGTCCACTCGTTGGAGCCGCCCCACCGCTGCTAGAGCCTCCCCACCGTCGCTAAAGCCGCCCCACCGTGCTGGTAAACCGATCCTCCACATCGGAAAAGAATTATCTTTGTCATTGAATTTTATTTGGTAGTGTGAAAGTGCATGTTTAGGAAAGTTCTGACAAGGAAAGACTTGGTATTTAAGTGTGTCCATTAGTGACCCACCTCTCTTTCCCGGGAACTTACCTAGTGTACTAGTTCACGTTATCGTCACCGCTGCCGCTGGAGCAGCTCTCCGGTCCGCCGCTGTCGGAGAATTCGCCGGAGTTTCATTTTTTTTACCTAGGTGACATATGATTTTGCTTGTCTCTGGTCAGGGTTTGTTCTCCCGCTCTTCATGACTTCTTCCACTATTTCCAATTTTGTTAACGATTCTTTTGTGTTGACATCCCATCGTGATGACCTGGGCTCGCCCTCGCAAACAGGAAAAAGGGCGTCCTAAGTGTGAACATTGTGGCAAGCTAGGTCACAAGATTAACAAGTGTTATACATTACATGGCCGTCCTCCTCGATCCGTTGTAGTTGTTCGGACCAATCTTTCCCCACCTTTATCCGTAGGGATCTTCCTTCTTCTGTTGCATCCGACATGTCTCGTTATGTTCAACAAATTTCTCGAATGGTATAAGGATCAACAGTCTTCTAGTTCCACTATATCTCGTCACACATACAAATACATATTTTGCTTGGTCCGACCCAATCATTTTCTCCTGGTCCTTGGGTTTTTGATTCAGGAGCCACTCGATCATATTACCGGTAACAAATCTTTGTTCTCCTCTTTATCCTCTCCTAATCATTTACCTTCTGTTACACCGTGCTGATGGCTCTAGAGTATCATCTCATGGTGTTGGAACGGTTAAACTTTTTCCTTCTTTAACCATTGATAATGTTCTTTATGTCCCTGGGTCTCCTTTTAACCTCGTTGTCCATCAGTCGTCTAACTCGTTCTCTTGATTGTGTTGTTACTTTTACCAACAATTCGGTGTGTTTACAGGACCGGAGTTCGAAACGAGTGATTGGCACAGGATGTGAGTCTCATGGTCTTTATTATCTCCGTCCCTCTACACATGTTAGTACGGTTATGGAGTCTCCTCTCTTCTTCATGCTCAGCTAGGTCATCCAAGTCTTGCCAAGTCGAAACTTGTCCCTGCCTTGTCTAACTTATCTAGTTTGGCGTGTGAGTCATGTCAATTAGGCAAGCATAGTCGTACTTCCTTTCCTCGTAGTTTCACACGTGGTGCTTCGTCCCCTTTGCCGTGGTTCACTCGACATTTGGGGACCTAGCCGCGTTAAGTCTACTTTAGGTTTTCAATACTTTGTTACTTTCATTGATGATTATTCCGGATGCACTTGGTTATTTTTGATGAAAAATCGTTCGAATTATTTCATATCTTTCAAACTTTTTTTAATGAAATTCAAACTCGGTTCGGTGTTTCTATTAGAGTTTTGCGTAGTGATAATGGCCGTGAATATCTTTCTCATTCTTTTAAACAATTCATGGCTTCTCACGGTATTTTGCATCAAACTTCTTGTGCTTATACACCTCAACAAAATGGTGTAGCTGAACGTAAAAATAGACATCTTATTGAAACAACTCGCACACTTTTAATTCATGGAGATGTTCCTCAACATTTTTGGGGTGATGCTCTTCTTACTCGCATGTTATCTCATTAATCGCATGCCTTCTTCGGTTTTAGATAATAAAATACCTCATTCCATTTTATTCCCTCATGAACCACTTCATCCTTTACCTCCGAAAGTTTTCGGTCTACATGTTTTGTTCATAATTTTAGTTCCGGTCCGGACAAGCTTTCTCCTAGATCACATAAATGTGTTTTCTTAGGGTTTACAAGATCACAAAAAGGATACAAATGTTTTTCTCCTTCTCTTAACCGTTATTTTGTGTCAAAAGATGTCACCTTTGATGAGTTGTCTCTTTATTTTAAAAGTCAAACTTCACCTCTGCTCCATCCAATCTTGTCAACACTCCTAATACATTTAATGTTCCCGTTGTTTGTGACCCTCTAATTGTGTCTTCTTCACCATTAGTTCCTGCTCCGCAGCTTAGCTTCTTCTCCACCGCCTCTTCGCATTTATAGTTCTCGAAACCAATCACAACCACCACCATGTGACTCTACTCAAGTGCCAACTACTCGTCTCCTCCGGATCCGACACATGAGTCCGACCTTCCCATTGCCCTCCGAAAAGGTATTCGTTCTACACGTAATCCCTCTCCCCATTATATTGCTTTGAGTTATCATCGACTGTCATTACCTTTTTATACATGTCTTTCCTCTATTTCTTCCGTGACCATTCCAAAACCGTCCGTGAAGCTTTAGCCCATCCTGGTTGGCGTCAGGCCATGTTAGATGAACTAAGTGCTCTTCATAATAGTGGAACTTGGGAATTGGTCCTGCTACCGTCTGGGAAATCTGTTGTTGGTTGCAGGTGGGTGTTTGCTATCAAAGTTGGACTCGATGGTACTATTGATCGCCTCAAAGCTCGTCTTGTGGCCAAAGGTTATACTCAAATTTTTGGGTTGGATTATGGAGATACCTTTTCCCTCGTGGCAAAGATGGCTTCGTTCGTTTATTTATCGCCATGGCCGCTCTTCAACAATGGCCTCTTTATCAACTCGGATGTTAAAAATGCTTTCCTCAATGGTGATTTGCAAGAAGAAATATATATGGAGCAACCTCCTGGGTTTGTTGCTCGGGGGAGTCTTCCGGGATGGTATGTCGTCTTCGCAAATCCCTATATGGCCTAAAACAGTCTCCTAGGGCTTGGTTTGGAAAGTTTAGCAAGGTTGTTCAACAATTTGGTATGACTCGGTGTGAATCGGATCATTCCGCCTTTTATCGACACTCGAGTGCTGGATGTGTTTACTTGATAGTATATGTTGATGATATTGTTCTTACAGGTAGTGACAACCATGGCATCTCTCGGTTGAAACAAC